GGCACACCTTAGTCTCTAAACTGACATCTTTGCTCATTAGCACTTGGGAGAGGCCCTTGACTGCAGATTTCCCCAATGATACGTGTCTTTTGATTTTTTGACTGCTGGTACAGAGGAGGTTGACTATGGATGAAATTGTTGACGACTCCATTTTTTTCCCCTCTCTCCATCCATCATTGGTCAGTGCTGAGCACGTTTGTATTGATGGGAGATGTAATCCACGCTGAAGCCCGTAGTCCTTGAGATTTTGCAGCAAGCAAGGTTGTGTCATCTGCATAACACGGGTTGTTGAGGAGGCTTCCTCTGATCCTGATGCCACGTTTTGCTCAACATACAAAGTATGGAAAAAGGCTACAGACCTAACATACCATTTTAAACCATGTAGTGTTTCCTTGCTCTGTTCAGACAGCAGCCTCTTGGTCTAGGTGTAGTTTTTGCATGTGCATAATTAAGTGTCCTGGGATTCTCAATCTTCTTAATATTAGCCATAATGTGTTGTGATCCACAGTCAGATACCTTTGTATAGTCAAAATGTAATACTGGGAGCCTCAGGCCCCTTGTTCAAAATTCAGATAGTACCTATGTTCTTGCAGGGTAAGCAGGATAGTGTCTAAACGGAGGTTCAGACTGTGCCTGTCACAGCCCCCGAGTGTCCTCATTCTCCGGGGAGGCTGAATGCTGGCCTGGGCCTGCTCCCCCCGGGGACCTGAGCACCACGGACAGCTTGACTCAGCTTGGGGACAGAAGGCTGCAGGCCTCTGAGGACCATCGCAGCTGAGTGTCCACTGTAGCCAGCTGGGGTCCCGGGCTCTGTCGTCCTGGGACAGGACCACTCCCATCTTGGTCCCTGGATCGCTCCCTGCCCTGCCCAGCCCTCATCCTCCGGAGTTTGGACCCCCTACACTCAGCCTGTGTGCTGTTGCGGTTGTTGTTAGGTACTGCCGAATTCCGGATGACTCATGGCGACCTTGTGGACAATAGTCAGGGGAACTGAGGCACAGGGCCACTGTGCTTGGGAGGAGGGCGTGGGGGCCACCTGCCCGCCATTTCTCAGCTGGGCCCTGACAGTTGAGCTGTTTGTCATGAGTAGCGGTTGGGAGCTGTGGTTTTGGAAACTGTCAAGGGGGTGGGTTGGGTGAGTTGCCCTCAGAGGCTCAGGCCGCTCCCTGGGGCAGATAAGGGGCCCTGTGGTGGGGAGGGGAGGAGAGGGCGGCACTTCAGTGGTCAGCGGCTGAGTCATACACACTTATCTCCCAGCCCCCCTACCAGCTCCTGTGGGCTGCCAAGGCTGGCTCTCTCCCCCAGCTCTGCACCCCAGGACACACGTGGCCTGCACTGGGCAGTGCTGGGCCGAGGCACCACTGTGTGTCCTTGGGAAGGTGGACACCTGCTGGGGGAGGTGGGAGGGGTCCCAAGGGAGGGGTCTGAAGGACCAGGAGGGTCTTGGGGTTGAGATTTAGGCTGATGGGGGTATTTTGGAGAGTCTTGGTGGCACAATGGTTCAAGAGCCTAGTTGCTAATGGAAAGGTTGATGGTTCAAACCCACCAGCTGCTCCCTGGAAGGAGGATGTAGCCGACCGCTTCTGGGAAGCTTGTTGTTAGGTGCCATCTAGTCGACGACAACTCACGGACCGACCAACGGCTCTGAACCCTGCCCTGTCCTGAGCCACACTCACGTCTCAGACACGCCTGACCCCACTGGCACAGTCACCGTGTCACTCCATCTCATCCACGGTCCTCTCCTGCACTTCCCCTCCACCCTTCCAAGCATGATGGAAAACGTTACAGCCTTGGAAATGCTAAGGGTGTCCAGAAGGGTCACTATGAACCTATTCAATGGCAGTGGACTTGGAGTTGGGGGCATTTCAAGTGGGCTGCATTCTGTGTGTCCTCCCTCGGTCCCGGCCACCATCTTTCAGCCACCCCTCAGTGTCCCATGTTGTCCCCCTTCTTTATCCTCATTGGCAGGGACTGTCCCCTGTGTCTGAGGCAGATGACAGAAGGGCTCAATCCTCCTAAACCTAGTACCTCTCTGCCTCAGTTTCCCTGCCTGTTGTTCGTAGGGTCACTGTGACTCATACGGAACTGGGTGGTACCGAACAACATACAGCACACACGCAGGACACAGGCTGTCTGGGGGTCCTGGGCGTCAACACTCTCCACTGTCGTCACCTAGGCTCCTTCCAGACCCCTGCACAGTGGGGCTGGCTGGGAGGGACGTTCGCCCCCTGGAACCGCTGTCCCCACAGCCATCTATGCTGAACAGCTTTCTTGGCGATTTCTTCTTGAGTGTGTTTATTTGAAAACACCGTGAGGACCAGACCCACTTTCTTCTGAATGACCCGCTGCCACAGGCGTCACAGCCCTGCGTGTGCGTCTCGGTTTCTGGAGGAGGAGACAGAGGTCCCCACAGGCCCAGGCGCATGCGAGGCTGGTGGGCCAAGTGCCCAAATTACTAACGGGTTTTCCAAGCGCCAGAGCTGCAGTTAGTTTCCCAAGCGGCGGGGCTGTGTCCACCCACCGAGCGCCGTGCACCCGCCTCGGGCACGCGCAGTGGCTCCCCGCGTCCCCATCCTTCCCACGTGCAACCTCGGGTGCACCCTGGTCCTCTCCGCGAGGTGCGTCTCTGCCTCCCATCCCCAGCACGCGCCTCCTCCCTGTGCACACACCGCTCCAGTACGCGCAGCACCAGCTACCTCTACACCCCGTGCGCGTGCCCCCAGCCCCCTCCCCCCACGAGCTCGAGCACGCGCGCCCCTCACCCCCAAAGCCGAGCGTGAACGCCCTGTCCCTCCCCCTGTCGCCCGCCACTCACCCGCGGGGGCGGTGGGCTGACTCGGTCGGCGCAGGCGCGCGCTGTGGGGCGGGGCGCGTGGTGAATGAGCCTGTTGTGCGGTGGGGCGGCCCGGCCCACGTGCCGGCTGGAATCAGAGGGGACCTCCTGGGGGGGGTGGAGTCAGGAGCCCCGAACTTGGGAGGGCTTACCACCTTTCTCAGGCGCAGCCCCTTCCTCTGTTCCTCCTCTGGGTCTCTCCAATCCCCCCACTTCATGGGCACAGGGCAGGGAGCCCAGGGGCTCACTGGTCTGGGCTGGCACCCTTGGTGGGTCTCCTGGCTCCAGAGAGGGAACTTCTCCAGCCCTCAGTGCCCTCCGATGGTGACACCGCTTGACACCTGTAACCTGTAGCACGGGCCAGGGTTATCGCTTCAGCTTCTTTCCTGGCCCCTCGGCACAATTCTGCACGGGACTTTGGAACCGTCCACGCATTTAATGTTTATCCAAACGCTCATTAGATTTAATTTCTTTGCTACCGGTTGTGACCTTTGGATGGGCGAGGGAGGAAGCGCGGGCAGATGGTGGGCACGGGTGGAGCTGGAAGTGGAGGGGATGGGAAGACGTTCCCCTAGGCAGAGGGCAAGCCGGGCTCAAGACCAGGAGGAACTTGTCTCGGAACAGTGGCTGCATCTCAGCATCGAAGGCTGAGGCCAGGATTGGTCAGAGAGGGGGAAGGAATCATCCGAGTCAGGACACCAGTCTTGGGTCTGGGGGGAGACCCCTGGCCTGGCAGAGCTACAGAATGGGGCGGGGAAGACGGAGCCCCTCAGAGGTGTCTGGTGCCAGGTTCTGGGGCATGGCTGTGACCTCCCATCGCACACGGCGGTGGGCCTAGTGTGTGGACCCTCGGGCCCCGTGGTGTTTGCAGGATCTTTCAGCCTTCATCTTCCCTCAGATGCTGCATTTCAGCTCCCTTCTGTCTGCCACGTCTGTTTCATACATGGAGATCTGAGTGTGACCTCCTGGGGCCACCTGTCCCAGCTCTTCACTGAGCCCTCCTCTCCCCTCAACTTCAGTGTCTGGCCCCCTTTTCTCCCCCATGTTCCCCTGGATGCCTTGGGGGATGATGTGTGGTCCTGGGGTCCCAGCCCCTCAACCAGGGCTTCATCCCCTCAGCTCCCACACAGCTTCCATAGTGGATGTCTCGACTGCACTCAGCCTGGGGTGCCCCAGTCACCTCCTCTCATGCCTCGGCAGTCTGCACCCCATCCTTTCAGCTGCTCAAGCTGTAACTGAGGGGAGGTGCTGGACACCCTTTCTATCGCAAGTCACTTCCACGGCCAGCACCCAGGCCACACACCACGCCTCATTGACCACCGTGGTCGCCTAGCGGTGTTGTGGCTTTGTTCCATGGAGATGTCAGAGGGACACTTGGCCTCACCATGGCCACCTGCGGTATGTCACGTCTGAGGACGGATACCCACCCAAGCTCTGTGCTGGGCCCACCTGCCTTTCTGGGATGTGATTATTTACTGCAAGCTCAGTCCCTAGTTGGTATTGGGGTCTTCTTAGGTGCTGACCCCTTCCCCCAGACGTCCTCATGGCTGGCTTGTCCCTCCTCCAGCAGACCTCTGACCTCGCTTCCCTTCACGTATCCTTCGAGGTCTGTCTGATTTGTTCTTGAAGATTCACATTGTCCTCTGATGATGACATCTGTCCCCAGGCAACACGGGGCCAGGTCCATCCTGCTTCCTGCAGGGTCCGGCCCTGCCCAAGATCACGGTGAGGGGTGCCCCTCCCCTTTCTTCTGCTCTGGGGTGGGGAGGGGCTGCTAGGCCAAGCTTGGGACCCTCCAGGAGACAGAGCGGAAGCAGTGTCCACTGTCCATCCCACAGCCCGTATACCACACCATTGGTCTTCAGGATGGCCTGTCTTCCGCCACTTTGTTCAAGTGTATCTTCAGCACCTGCTCACCTCATTCTACCTGAGGCCCCCACCCTGAACCTCTGTCTCTTGTGGATAGTGCCTTATCCACATATTGTTTTAATTCTCACTAGAGTGTGAGTGACTAATAAGGAGCCGTGATTGGTATTTTCAAAGACCGACTCCTTTCCTGCCTGGCTGTGGCCCTAGTTCCAGCCTGGGGTGTGTGAGGGGGTGTTGAGAGCCACCATGTCACCACCACATCCACCCACATCATCCCTCACCATGTGTGCTTCTGCAGGGGGTCAGCTGGGCAGCGCCTGAGTTACAACTTCACCTTCCTGGACGGGTTCCTGGACCTTCTAGGGGAGAACCAGCTGGTCCCAGGTGAGCACCGGCCTTTACTTCTGGCCCTCCTCCACGCCTCGCAGTGAACCAGCCCTCGCCACTGGCTGCCTGATGTGGGCTGGTCATAATCCTGGCGCTGGCAACACGGGAAGGGGGCAGCGGGGAGAGGAGAGATGTGGTGGTGTAGGGTGGGTGGGACGGTCACACTGGGACTGCATCACAGGCTTTGAGCTGATGGGCAGCCCCTCGGGCCGCTTCACGGACTTTGAGGACAAGCAGCAGGTGGTGGAGTGGAAGACGCTGGTCTCGCTGCTGGCCCGGAGATACATCGGTGCGCAGGGCTGCCCAGGGTGGCGGGAACTCTGGACAGGCTGTCTCCCCACACCCATGGGGCCCCTCTCCTTGCCCTTTACCCAGTATCTCATTGGTCTTCTGTGTCAGGGTCCCAATGACCCGGTCCTTCCTGATGGGGTGGGAGCGTCTTCAGTCAGACATCCCATTCAGGTCCAGATCCTCCCCTATGGACTCCCCAGAACCCTCTGACAGGATTCAGCAGTATTGCCCCAGGGATGGGGCCTATGCTTGGCTAGCTCTCCAGAGTGAAAGGGGGGCACTGGGGCATCTTTGCAGGTAGGTACGGGCTGGAACATGTTTCAAAATGGAACTTTGAAACGTGGAATGAGCCGGACCACCACGACTTTGACAACGTGTCCATGACCACACAAGGTGGGCAGTGCTCCTTGGGGTCCTGAGCTGGAGGTGGGGGATAGGAGTTGAATAGAAGATGACCCGGGGGATCGGGACATCAGGGGTCACCCTGGGAGGGAGGAGGGTCACATGTCAGGGGCCTGGGACACTGTGGTGAGCACGGTGGTGGACATGGTGGTCCTGCCGGCCTAGGGTTCCTGAATTACTATGATGCCTGCTCTGAGGGTCTGCGAGAGGCCAGTCCCGCTCTGCGGCTGGGCGGCCCGGGCGACTCCTTCCGGCCCCCGCCACGCTCGCCCCTGTGCTGGAACCTTCTGGAGCATTGTCACAACGGGACCAACTTCTTTACTGGGGAGACTGGTGTGCGCCTGGACTACATTGCACTGCACAAGAAGGTGTGGCCCACCGTTCCGCTTGGGCCCAGTCCTTCCACCTGGGACCCCAGCTTTCCGCACAAGACCCCTGCTAGCCGAGGTACAGGGACTTGTGCGTGGGGCTGCTGACCCCAGACTGCTGCCCACAGGGCGCAGGGAGCTCCATCCACATCCTGGACCAGGAGTTGGAGACAGTGCGGCAGATCCAGAGCCTCTTTCCCAAGTTCGCGGACACCCCAGTTTACAACGATGAGGCCGACCCACTAGTGGGCTGGTCGCTGCCGCAGCCGTGGAGGGCCGACGTGACCTACGGGGCCATGGTCGTGAAGGTGCGCTCCACACAGGCTGGCTCTCCTGGGGGCCTGGTGGGCGTGGCGTGAGGGGCGTGGGGGTGCGCCGCTGGCTCCAGCTCCCAACTCACACCTGCAGGTCATCGCCCAGCACCAGAATCTGCTGATTGCCAACAGCAACTCCTCCATCCGCTATGCGCTCCTGAGCAATGACAACGCCTTCCTGAGCTACCACCCGCACCCCTTCACGCAGCGCACGCTCACCGCCCGCTTCCAGGTCAACAACACGCACCCACCGCACGTGCAGCTGCTGCGCAAGCCGGTCCTCACCGCTATGGGGCTGCTGGCCCTGCTTGGTGAGCCTGTCCCTGCGCCCCCCGTCATCCCTGGGGTTACCGGCCCTGCTGCTGCTCCCCACCCCAGGTGTCCTGTTAAAACCTGCCCTGTTCACTCCTGGGGCCGCTGGCCCTGCTTGGTGAGCCTGTCCCTGAGCCCTCTTCATCCATGGGGTTGCTGGCCCGGTCCCTGGGCCCCCATAATGCCCTGCCCAGTTCACCCCTGGGGCTGCTGGTGCTGTTAGTGGACCCTGCCCCTACTCACTCCCTTGGAGCTCCTGTCCTCTGCTTTAAGCCAACCTGCAAACAGTCAGGACAGACCCTGGCGCCGGTCAGAGAGCGACAGGGCCTCCTGTGACTGGGGCTGAATGGTGTGCAGAAGCTTTTTTGGGAAGAAACAGTATGTAGGAAGACCCCGAGGCAGGGGAGGCGCATGAGCTGGCCCTGTCTGGGGGCGTGTACCCAGCAGTGCCAGGTTTTTTTTGGTTCCTCTCCCAGGCTCCACTCCTCCCCAGCTTCAGGTGGCTGGGACACCTTGGTGCATACGGGGAAGACCCAGACGCGGAGAAGGAGGAGGTGGGCGCTGCTGCATAGTGACCCTTCCCTTGCGTCCCCCACAGATGAGGAGCAGCTGTGGGCAGAGGTGTCGCAGGCGGGGACAGTGCTGGACAGCAATCACACGGTGGGCGTCTTGGCCAGCGCCCACCGCCCCGCGGGCCCTGCTGACTCTTGGCGCTCCACGGTTCTGATCTACGCAAGCGATGACACTCGTGCCCGTGTCAACCTCAGTGCCACCATGACCCTACACCTGCGTGGGGTGCCTGCGGCGCCAGGTGAGCAGTGAGTTCACCAGGGGAACATCATCCTAGCTAGGCATGACCAATAGGGGTATTGTTAAGGGGGCGGGACCAAAGGGGTGTGGGGTCCCGAGAGGGGCGGGGTCCAGGGAAGGGCGGCCGGTGATGCTGGGTTCCTCTCAACTTCCTCGCAGACTTGGTCTACGTGATGCTCTCCATGGACAACCGGCGCTGCAGCCCCTACAGCAAGTGGCAGCACCTGGGCCAGCCCGTCTTCCCCTCGGCAGGGCAGTTCCGGCGCATGCGTGCAGCCGAGGTGCCAGGGTGGGCGTGGGGTCTCCCCTCAGGTCTGGGGGAGGGTGTCTAGTCCTGGCTCCCAGGCCCTGAGGAACTTCCGCCGCCCCCAGGACCCCGTGGCCGCAGCCCCGCGCCCCTTCCCCGCCACAGGCCGCCTGACGCTGCCGCTGGAGCTGCAGCTGCCCTCGCTGTGGCTGCTGCACGTGTGTGCGCGCCCAGAGTGGCCACCGGGCCCGGTGAGTGACCATGCGCCCCCGCCCTGCGCGCCCCCACCCCGCGCGCCCCCTCTTCACCGTGTCCGCCTCCCTAGGTGACCCGGCTCCGGGTGCTGCCCCTGACCCGCGGCCAGCTGCTTCTGGTCTGGTCCGATGAGCGAGTGGGCTCCAAGTACGTGAGTGAGGCCTGCGCCCAAACTCTGCTCCAGTTGGTGCTGCTCTTCTGTGCTCGCTTTCACTCCTCCCCAGTGTACCCCAGCATGGGGGGTGCATCCCTGCCGCTTATTCACCCTCCCGCCTCCATCCCCCATCTGCATCTTACCTGCTGTTCTTGCACCCATCTCTCCCTTGCCTGCCTCCCACCTGCCGGTGACCAGCGCCCCTTCTGCCCAGCGTGCACCTGTCCGGCCCTTGGGCAGTCCATCCATGTGCCCACCTCGGAGCTTCTTCCTACTCTAATTCGGAGTGGGATTGTGCATTAGAAAACAGCACCTGGGCTCTGGTCCCCCTCCACCAGCCTGGCCGGACATGAGTGCCCAGGGGCACAGAGGGGCCAGGAAGGGAGTGGAGGGAATAGGAATCTGGGTGGTTCCCCTCAGGCTTCCAGGGATCCCGCTGACTCCGATCTGAGTTCCCAAACCCGACCTGGGCCTTCACTGCACTCTGGGTCATGCTCTGCCCTCTGCAGGTGCCTGTGGACGTATGAGATCCAGTTCTCTCAGGGGGGTGAGGCATATACCCCCATCAGCAGGAAGGCGTCGACCTTTAACCTCTTCGTGTTCAGCCCAGGTTAGCCCGTCACCCACTCTGGCCCCAGGGAAGCACCACGTGGGTGGACCCAGGGCCTTGCAAAGCCTGGAGGCGGGGGGTATTGGAGATCTGGGCCATTGGAGTGGGCACCCCCTCAAGGCCCACCATGCACCACGGGCCTTTGTTTCTCCAGACTCCAAGGTCGTCTCTGGCTTCTACCGGGTCCGTGCTGTGGACTACTGGACCCGGACTGGCCCATTCTCGGATCCCGTGCAGTACCTGGAGGTCCCTGCCCGGTGAGGGCCACTGCCAGTCACCCCGTGAGCCTGAATGGACTGTTGATCCTGGGGTTGATTGGCACCCCAGAGGGCCGGGCCGCCTCAGCTGGTCAGCTGTCAGCTCCGTTTGCCCCATCCTGCACCTTGCCACTTAAAGTGCCTTTTATGTGGTTTGAATCCACCGCGTGCTCTGCCGGAGGAGGGGTAGTCTCCTCCTGTACCAGTCAGATTTGACGGAACACACACAAAAATAATGAAACAAAACGTTTAAAATTCCTTTTTTACATGTTGATCTTGAAGTCAGACTTCATGGATGAACAGGATCAGCCCTGGGGGGTCAGTGCGTGAGGGAACAGCAGGGGGTTATGGGCTGTGAGGGCCTGGCTGGGGCAAGGCTAACCCCCACCCCCACTCACAGCCACTCCTCACATGGAGGGCTGCTGGGCAGGGACAGGTGTGAGCTGCGGGTGAAGGCAGCACAGCTGTTCACCGTGGCTGTGCAGTCCCTGGAGAGTGTCATGACCTCATATGGGGTTGGGGGGCTGGCTGGATACCCAGTCACTTTTGGGTGGTATGGGCCTCTTGGACTTCCAGCCCCTGCATCTTAGATATCACGCCACAGAGGAGTGACTTGAACAAATAGAAGTCTGTTCTCTCACAGTTGAGGACACTAGACATCTCGTGGGGTTCAGGGTACTGGCGTCGCGGAAGACATCCTCACTGTTCCCGCTCTGGAGGAAGGCTGTCTCAGCACCCTTAGACCCAGCATTCCTTGGAGATCTCCGTGAGTCCTGGCTTCAGCCCTTCCCTGGATCTCGAAGGTTCTCAGGACAGGATGGGAACCATATGGATTGCTTCTCAACATCAGGAAAGCGAGAATTCTCAGCACTGGACAGACAGGTATCATGATAGATGGAGAAAAGCCTGAGATAAATGGTTAACAGCTTCATCTTACTGAATCCACGGTCAACACCTTGGTACCAGTGTCAGGATGTATATTGCACTGCGAGAGTCTGCAGTCAGGGGCCTCTCCAAGTTACTGAGGAGCAATGATGTCAGCTTGAGGACTACGGTGTGCCTGCTTCCGACCAAGGTCTTTTCAGTCACTTGCTACGCATCTGCGAGCTGGATAATGGATGAGGATGACAGGAGAATTGATGCCTTTGAGCTGTGGTGCTGGAGTACTGAATGGGCAGCCAAAAGAGCAGACATGTCCTGCAGAGGGTGCAGCCAGGGTGCTCCTTGGACGCAAAGGTGGCAAAGCTTTGTCTCACATAACTTTGAGCTTGTTGCTGGGAGAGGCTATTCCTCGGAGAAGGACATCATGCTTGAAAATGTCAGTGAAAGAGAGGAAGACTCTCAACGAGGTGGATTGACACAGGGGCTGCAGCAGTGGGCTCAGGTGTGTCAGATGAGAAGGATGGTGCAGGACAGACAGACGGGGTTCAGGTCTATTCACAGCGTCACTGCGAGTCGTATCAGAATTGATGCCACCTAACAGCCCTTCCAAGTGGCGTAGCCCTGGTCTGTGCATTGCTGTAAGATTTAACTCATGGTTGCTGTGATGCTAAACACTGTGACACTGATGTGTCAAACCATGGTGGACAGTGTTGGGCGGAGCTTCCCAATTAAAACAGGCTTGGAAGCAGGAGTGGCATCCACTTACAAAATACCTCGCCTCTGGAAACCCTATGAATGTGGAGAAAGGATGAAAGTTATACAGGTGTTCAGGTCTTTTGTTCATAGTGTCGTTATGGGTCAGTCTATGACTCGACAGCACTTAACAACAACAATAACAAAACACCACAGCCCAGGAACCTGGTCCAAAGGGTCTGCTCTCCTGTCTTCTCTTCCTTGGTGGTGGAGGCCGTTCTCCTTCTCCGCTCACTGCTCTCATTTCACCTGCTTTAAGCTGTAAGGTGCTGCAGGCCACACCCCAGGGGAACCTCCTGACATCAGAACAAAGTGGGGGCCAGATTATGGGTGTCACATCCCATCGTAATCCCCTCAAATTGGATCGGGGTTGATGACATTATTGCACATTTACCAAATCATATCATCACGTTCAAAACATAGAGGATCATAGCTCAGCTGAGTAGACACGCAGTTGTGGAGGGACACGGTTCAGTCCATGACTCCCTGCATCCCTGTCCTGCACTGTGAGGAGCTGAGCCAGGAGAGGGAGGGTGGACACGTGCTGGGTCGTGAGGACCCGTCAAGGCTGCTCCCACACTTCACCCAGCAGAAGGGTAGGCAGCATCCTTGACAGTATCTGTGCTGGTCTTGGCCACTTCCTTTGGGTCCCAGGCTAGCAGGGGCTGGGGAAATATGGATGATTGGAGAGGAGTTGTCAGGAGTGACCAGTCCTTGGAAAAAAACCTTACCGGGTAGGGTGGAGTGTGAGAGAAAGAAAGGAAGACCCTTGGCGAGATGGATTGACCCCGTGACGGACGTGACAGAGATTGTGAGGAGGGCACAGGGCAGGGCAGGACTCACATCTTTTCATAGTCGCTGTGAGTTGTGGGCGAATCAATGGCACCTAACAACAACAACAACAACAACAACACAGAGATTGAGGGTTAGGAAAATCACAGGAGAGGCTGGAGAATGGGGAGGCGCCCCCAAGCCCAAAAGGGGCTGAGAGGGAGCGGGTGCTTTCCCAGTAGGGGAGACGTTTGGTCCAGGGCTGCAGGTAACCTCTGGGCCCTGCTGGATGGGAGCAGGGCACAGGGGCCACCACCTACGCCCTCCCACCTCTGATGTACCCTCTCGGCCTTACACATCCATGTGGAAGACAGAGGCAGCATGGGACCCTAGAGTCATCGTCAGGGGGCCCAGACGGGGATGCGCTGAGGGGGATGGGAGGAGAGAGCGTGTGTCTGGACGGGCAGCGGGAGACACACGGGGTGGTTCCATGTACTCCTGCCCTCTTCCTGCTCCTCCATCCAGGCAAAACGTTCCTGTCCCTCTGTGTCCCAGCCACCAAGTCCTGCCAGCCGTCACGTCAGCGTGGTCATTCTTCCAGCGGGAATCACCTGGTCCATCCGCGTGGACTCCAGCAGCTCAGGGTCAGTGTTTGGGCACGTGGGCTTCTGTCCCTGCCTGCGGTTCCTGTGTCAGCGCCCCCTTGTGGAACCCCTCACTGTCCACTTACGTTACGACGCTCACGTGTCATCTCAGATCAAGAAACCATGGCCACCCAGACTTGGCTCAGGTCCACTCAGCGGAATCCACGTCGCACAAATGTGTGGGGCAGCCCTGGTCTGCCTGAGTGCACGACGTCCTCCCAGGGGCCAGTGGTCACCACGACCTGAGGTTGGACTGCTACGTCCTAGAGGAGACAAATGCACGGCCATTCTGTTGAGAGTGAGGACTCATGAGGCCCAAATCACCACACCCAGCTGCCCACCTCGGCGTGTCCAACTGATGCCCACCCAGCTGCCCACTTCGGCGTGTCCACTTGATGCCCACCCAGCTGCCCACCTCAGCATGTCCACCCAGCTGCACACCTCTGGAGTGTCCATCCTGATGCCCATCTCTGGAGTGTCTACCCAGCTGCCCATTTTAGGAGTGTCCACCCTGATGTCCACCAAGCTGCCCACTTCAGTGTCCCCTAAATGCCTACCCAGCTTCCCACCTCTGGAGTGTCCACCCTGATGCCCACCCTGATGCCCACCTTTGAAGTGTCCACTCTGTGCCCACCCAGCTGTCCACCTCTGAAACGTCCACCCTGATGCCCACCCTGATGGCCACTTTGGAATGTTGACCCCTCTCTGGTGTTTCCACCCTGATGCCCACCTCTGGGTTGCCCACTCAGGAGTGTCCACCCTGGTGCCCACCTCTGGGGTGTCCACCCTGTCCCTCCAGCCTCAGGGTTTTGATGGTCCTAGGACATGAGGAAGGACCACATCCACCAGGGAACATGGGTGCTAAGATGTCTCCCTGTCCACTGCAGGCTCTTCAGCCCCCAGACTCAGCGGGAGAAGGGCTGGCCAACACACCCCCATCACCATGGAGAAATGACCAGTACCCCAGATGGGCTGGGGGTGTGACTCATGGACCCCAGAGGGTCATCACAGCGCACGTGCAGTCACCACGGTCTGTGCGTAAATGGTCACCAAGGACACACGGGCCAGGCCTGAGGGTGACCAAGACCTCCTTTCAGTACTGCAGTAACAAATGCCACGAGACGGTGGCTTTAAACAAGAGAATGTCATTTTTTTACAGTTCAAGGAGCTGAATTCAGGCTCCTTCTGTCAGCTCTGCGGGGAAAGCCTAGTCTCTGAGCTTCTGTAGCCTGTGTTCCTTGTTTTCTTAGAGATCTTCATGTGACCGTATTTCCCGTTTCTGCTTCCTTGTTTCTGTCAACCCTATAGGTCAGAAGAGTTTAGGTCTTGTTATAAAAGCCATAAACAACCTTTAGGACTGAGTCACTGGGCTTGGTGATCTAGGAGCAAAGACTCAGGGGACAGCCACCTGAGTTGACAGAACATAACTTATAAAGGATTACATTAGGAGAGTCGCCTATCAGAGACCTCGCCAAAGCACTCAGGAGAAATGATGCCAATTTAAAGACTAAGATGTGCCTGATTCAGGCCATGCTCTTTTCAGTCACTTGCTATGCGTCTGAGAGCTGGACAATGAAGGATGACCAAAGATGACTCAATATCTTTGAGCTGTGGTGCTGGAGAAAAGCACTAAATATCCCATGGACTGCCAAGAAAATAAACACCTATGTCTTGGAGAAAGTGCAGCCGGAGTGCTCCTTAGAGGCAAGGATGCAGAAGATTCGTTTCACATACCTTCGGCAGTTGTTAAGAGAGGGCAGTTCTCTGGAAAGGTGGAGGGTGAGCAAAGGAGTGGAAGACTCACAATGAGATGGACGACACAGGGCTCAGCTGTGTCAGAGGTTGTGAGGATGGCACAGGACAAGGACAGGGTCAGATGTGTTCACAGGGTCAGTGTGACTTAGACCAGACCCGAAGGCACAGTTCTTACAGACAGACGATACTCTGTCCTCTTTTGCTGTTGTCTTAAAAGCTTGTGAACGGCCAATGAAGATGCAAAATGGGTCTTTTCCCACATGGAGAAAGTGAAGAAAATCGAAGAGCCAAGGGAACAGTTGGTCCCAAGGAGGAACAAACCACGAATCACGGGTCCACGAGCCCAAGGCCAGAACTAGCTGCCGGCCACCCGCTACTACGGACCCTCAGGACAGGGATGATACTGGAAACCCTGGCAGAGTGGGAGGAAGCAGCAAAATTCCAAATCACGGAAGAGATCAGAGTTCCCGGTCTCACAGAGACGGGCCGTGTCCCTCACACACCCTGCAGTCCTGCAGCTGACCTGCCTTGGGATCATCTTTCAGCCCAGCAACAGACATGCTTAGGAAATGAACAACAATACGCGTGAGAATCGTAATCCTGAGAACCAGCAACCCCACGAGAAGACGGAGAGAGCAGCGTTTGTCCAAACACAAAGGTTAGAAGGCGGGCAGGGCAGAGAAGGAGCGCGGATCAAACCCAGGGGCGATCTCACGGCCTCATTCACGTTACAGAGAAAACGATTTCCAAATAGGATTGTGTGGACAAGTGCAGACATTCGAATCCCAACATGTGTTTTGTTGTTGTTGTTGTTAGGTGCTGTCGAGTGTAGCAAGAGCTCAGTTGGCCCTGTGGACAGAAAATGATGCTACCAAGCCAAAGGTGGGTGACATTAATCCGCAGCCCTCAGGCCTACTTTGAATTGTTTTTGGTCAAACATTGTTCTAGGTCGTAGACCCCTGGTGTGTCCACTTGCTGTGAAGCTGAACACTGTGACACTGATGTGTCAAATGTGATAATGGTCACCCAGAGTGGACAGTGTTTGGTGGAGCTTCCTGATTAAAACAAGCTTGGAAGCAGGAGTGGCATCCACTTCCAAAATAGCTTGACTCTGGAAGTTCTATGAACCTCGAAAAAGGGTGAAAGTTATACAGGTGTCCAGGTCTTTCATTCATAGGGTCGCTATGAGTTGCCTACGACTTGACGACACTTAACAACAACAACAGGTATTGTTGAGTCAAATATGACTCATAGTGACCCTATGAACAACACACCGAACCCTGCCTTAACCTGTGCCACTCTCAACATCTCTAACACACTAGAGCCCATTGGGGCAGTCACGGTGTTCATCCATCTCGTTAAGGGGCTTCCTCTCTTTACTGACCTTACACCTCTCCAAGCGTGATGTCTCTTTCCAAGAAATAGCTTCTCCTAGCAACGTGTCCAGAGTGTGAATGATGAAGCGTCACCATCCTTGCCTTGGAAGAGCACTTGGGCTGCACTCCACCAAGACATATGTGTTTGTTCTCTTGGCAATCCACGGGATGTTCAGTACTCTTCTCCAACACCACAGCTCAAAGACATTGGTTCTTCTCCTGTCATCCTTAGTCACTGCCCAGCTCTCAGACGCACAGCAGGTAATTGAAAAGACCTTGGCCTGAATCAGGCGCACCTTACTCCGACATCATCGCTCTTCAGTAATTAGGAGATCCTTGACAGCAGACTTGCCCAAGGCAGTACATCTCCTGATCTCCCGACTACTGATACTGAGGGAGCTCATTGTAAATCCCAGCAAGATGACACCGTTAACGACTTCAATTCTTTCTCCATCTATCATGACGTTGCCTATTGGCCCAATTGGGAGGACCTTTGTTTTCTTGATGTTGAGATGTAATCCATACTGAAGGCTGTAATCCTTGATCTTTTGCAGCAAGAGTTTCAAGTCCTCCTCACTCTCAGCAGGCAAGGTTGTGCCGTCTGCATAACACAGGCTGTTTGTTGATGAGACTTCCTTTGATCCTGATGTCACATTCCTCTTAAGAGTCCAGCTACTCTGAATGATTTGTTCAGCATACAGGCTGTGTAGGTATGGACCAAGGATACAGCACTGATACACACTTTTCTTAATTTTAAACCCTTTGTTTGGACAGCAGCTTCTAATCTAGGTACAGATTTCGCACGAGCACAGTGAAGTGATTTGGGATTCCCATTCTTCACAAGGTCAGCCACAACTCTTTATGATCCACACAGTCAAATGCCTTTGCATAGTCAATAAAACACAAATAGACATTCTGACATTCTCTGCCAACAGCCAGGATCCATCTGGCATCAGCAATGAGATCCCCAGTGCCACGGCCATTTCTGAACCCCTCTGAACACATATATTTGGGGGGACATGACTTACATAATAAGGAGACACAAGCGGTTAGGTGGCTTGTGTTACAGCCTGGATCTGCGGCAGAGCCTCTTCTCGCCAACATTACTGCTCTCCAGTCAGTGGCTGAGAGCGCTGGGATCAGACATATATATGTTGTTCCCCAAATACAGAGTCCTGTCAAACACTGTGCCTTTTAGAAGTGGACCCAGGAGCAATGGCTTACCTCACTCTAAACGGCACATCCCATCTCTGCACTGACTACGGGATCTCTGAAAGGGCCATGAGGCTTCTTGGTAAGATCTGGGTGGTTGTTAACCAACCAGCACTAAGTCATCTAGAAGGTCAGAGCTATAGGCTGAACCCTGGCAGCAGGGGATCAGATGGAATCCAGGCAAACTGTCAAGGTGCGCTGACGCACCTGCCGTGTGAATGGTAGTGGCCGATTTTCTTTATTGATGGGAGTAATACAGATCATGTACTTGGGGCATGATTTATTTTTTAGCCTTTATTTTTTGCCAATGCTTTCAATGCTGCTTTTACTTCCTCCTTCATTACCATTGCAATCACTTGTTATGCATCAGAGAGTTGGACAATGACTAGGGAGGATAGAAGGAGAATTGACGCCTTTGAGCTGTGGTGCTGGAGAAGAGTATTGAATGTACCATGGACTGCCGAAAAAACAGATTCATCCTAGAGAGGGTTAAACCAGGCTACTCCTTGGAGGCAAGGATTCTGGGGCTTCGTCTGACATACTTTGGGCATGTTGTAAGGAGAGACAGGTCTTTAGAGAGGGACATCACGCTGGGTAGAGTAGAGGGACAGTGCAGGAGGGGAAGACCCTCTATGAGGTGGATTGATTCAGTGACTGGGGTAATCGGGATGGG